AGAAGGATAAGCAGTCTCCTTCTGTGCAATTAACTGCCTCTGAAAACCCAATTTATGTATGTGTATGTAGAAGTATATATAAATCTTTACAATAGCTTCAGAATTCTGAGGAAAATTCTTTTCTGTTCAACGAAACCACATGCAGCCTAACAATCAAAATGACAAAATGGAGTGAAGGTTGAATAAGGATGTTTTACAGAAATTAAGGTATTCCTCACACACTCTCTATCTGAAAATGACTGGAAGATTTGCTTCTCCACAATGAAAGAGTAATGCAAGGAGACGGGAAGAAAGCAGAAAGAAGGAACAGAAAAATAAATGAAGAAAGGGAAGAGGAGGGAGGGGTGAAAGGAGGGGAGAGAGAGCATGAGCAGAGGGCATGTACCCTGTGAGCCTTGCAGGAAGGTCCCAGCAACAATCCACCAGAGAGCAGGACAGATGGATCCAGTTCTTGAAGCCTCAGGGGAAAATGGCACTGAGGGGAGCCCCTGCCTCATTTGTTCATTTGATAAAAAAAGCAATGTGGTGCAGTTCTTTGGTATAGTTTATAAAGAGTTAAAGACAGGAACCTGCAAAGTAATGAAACCAAAACCAAGACATTTATTAACTCCAGGGGAACAGACAACAGATTGTACAGGAAGAGATAAAAGCACTGGACACTATGTGGCTAAACTCCATCTAAGAGTTATAAGACCAATAGATGAGAAACCCAAAATATTGATCTAGGGTTGTATCATTAGTTTGATAAGATAGAGGAGAGGGATGGTGGTATAAGTAATAAGTCCTCATCTGCCATCATTGAAAAGTTGATAAATAATGTCTAAAATTGATAAACCATGCTGCTTAGAAAGCAACGTGGAAGTAGATCCCACAAGGAAGTGGCTAAAATCAGCAAGTATTTCTTCTGGGGAATAGGTGTCAGCCGTGGTAAAGAAGGGATTAGGGAATTGTTGTGGTTTTTGTGTTTTGTTTTGTTTTTGTTATAAGTGCTGTAGAACTAGTTTATTTTTAAGACCATCTTTTGTTGTGGACCAAGGGTAAAGTAGATTAATAATTAATAACGAGACAGAACACCAAGAATGAGATAAAACAGAGAGCGTCATAAACAGGGGTCAGCAGTTAAAATCACAAACCACACCTTTCTGTGCATTTATTGAGACTCAGGGGAAGCAAATAATAAAGAGAATCCTCTTGTAAATGAAGCCAAATTTTTTCTATTGTCAACCTGATGCTTGGCTTAGGAAGGAAGTATTTCACACATATTAACACTCCCTCTGCAGGGGGAGCTGTCTCTTGTCTGCAGGAAACAGCTCATTTCCTGTGATCTGTAGCAAGAGAAATTCCAACTTGTGATTCCTTCAATTCCTGAATAAGCATATGGTTTTTCATATAATATTTGGTATGAAATTTGGCTTCCCATAATCTTTAGTGTATTATTTTGATAGGGAAAACTGTTAGGGGTAAGTAAGAGGGTGTGAAGTAGTAGCAGTGATTGTTGTTGTTAGGTGCTGTCAAGTCAGGTATGACTCATAGCAACCCTATGAACAACAGATCTGAACCCAGTCCTGTCCTGCATAGCTTTTTTTTTTTAAAAAAACAGATATTTGATGGTTGGGTTTGGGGTTTTGGGGTTTTTGGTGTGTGTGTGTGTGTGTGTGTGTGTGTGTGTGTGTGTGTGTGTGTGTGTGCTCTTTAACACTCTTGCTTGGAAGCAGGAATGGCATCCACTTCTGAAATAGCTTGCCTCTGGAAACCCTATGAACCTGGAGAAAGGACAAAAGTTATACAAGTGTTTAGGTCTTTCATTCATAGGGTCGCTATGAGTCACCCACAACTTGACAGCACCTAACAACAACAACAATAAATCTTTAACAAAAGAATATTGAACATTCCATGGACCACCAGGAGAACAAACAGGTCTGTCCCAGAGAGGATGAAACCAAATTGTTCCTTGCAGGCAAGGATTTTGAAGCTCTATGCAACATACTTTGGGCATGTTGTCAGGAGGGACCAGTCCTTGATACAGTGACTGGGATAATGGGGGCAGGTGTGTCGGAGGCAGCGGGACTGGCTCCGGGCAGGGCAGGCTTCAGAGCTATGTGTACATAGGGTCGCTCTGAGTCACAAACAATGACACGTAACAATAAACAGTGAAGAAAACAAATAGCTAACACTTAACTTGAGAAAACTTCAGGTTGGTTCAGACTAATAGCAGACCCTCCACCAGGTTTTTCATGTCTGTAAACACACAGGAGATTGCCCTTCTTCCTCCTGTGGAGCAGCTGGTGGATTCGGACTGCCAGAGGAGCACAGCCCTGGGATTGGCAGTGTACCTCTCACTAGGCTTTGGCAACTAGTCCATCTAGCCTAGCTCTAGTGTTTGCTAGGTCCTTGTCTAAGAGTCTTTTATTTACTTGACATAAATAATATAATCATCCTATCAGCCCTATGTTGTTGTTGTTATGTGCCATCTAGCTGGAACCAACTCATCCATAGCTAACCGTGCAAAGGTTTTGAGAGACTAAATTATACAGGAGGAGATCACTCATCTTTCTTTGAAGGAGCAGCTGGTAGACCCAAACCATTTGCCTTTGGTTGGCAGTGAAACTCTTTTATCAGTAAGCCACCAGACCTCCCTATAAATATATATGACCACTGTTATTGTCCCCATTTTACAAATAAAGAAACTAAGACACTGAGAGATTCAGTGTCTTAGTCAAGTTCTCACAGCTAGTGAATGGCAGAGCTGAGGTTTGAACCTGTGGAAGGAATGAAAGAGTTGAGAAAAGTTTTTTGTTTTTCATTTGTAATAGAAAAGATGTGATAAAGAGTGTGTATAATTGGGCTGATCCAGGGTTGGACTTCAGCCAGGTGATTGTGGCAAGGGCACTCGAGCTCAGGGAACTTGAAGGTGTAAACATGGCTGTGGTTGGAAGGATGAGCTTTGGAGTCAAAGCCAAAGAGGAGCTTGATGGTTTCTAGGAAATAAAGGCATCAAGAAGAATGAGGCTAGAGGAAAGGGACAGAAGATTGTTTTCAGAGAAGGGGAATCATTCACTTTTCTGAGGGGACAGATGGAATGAGAGAAAACGCATGCAAGCTCGCAGATAGACAGAGAGGACTGGGAGGTTACTGGCCAAAGGGCAGCAGGAAGTGTGAGTACTTTTTGTCTCGATTTTGTTCTACTTTTCTTATTTGTGTTCAAGTACTTTGCATCATTTATGTAGTAAGAAAAACCCCAATGAAAATTATTGTATGATTTGGATCAAGCAGCCCAGGTAGTGATGCAGTCTAGGGTGGGACATGTGAGTGGCTGACAGAGATGGACAAAGGTCTTTGAGTTGAGGAAGTAAAGACAGATAGATGACACTGTGATGTCAGCTACCTAACCCTCCTGAAACAGATGAAGTCCTGGGTAATGGGAGGGAATGCTGTGAACGCAGGGAGAGGGGGCTGTAGGCAGCCAGTCAGGGTGAATACTGAAGAGTCTGGCGCCCACCTGTTCCCCTGTCCTATGCAAGCTTGCGCTTCCTCGCCTCTAGAATAAAGCTGGAGCATTTGCTGCTCTTGTTACACATTCCTTCCTCAATTTAATCCATCACACCCACACAACTATTAAAATTAATCTTCCTTTGGTACTTTAGGAAAAACTCCATCCATGCCAAATAGCCTATAGTAAGTGTCAGTTACTTGCTTAAAATGAGTGTTTTAGCGACCTCCCCATCCTGGATCCCTGCTGCTCCCCTTCGACAGCTCTCTGAACGTCTTCACTGATCACATGAAGAGGTTGCACTCTGCCTTGTCCATTTGATTAAGTTCATGGAGGGAAGGTGCTTTAGAAGGAATCATTTCACTCTGGAATGTGATCTCTTACTACTCCCCAAATGAGTCTTCTACTCAAGGAGGCTTTTTGTTTTTTTCACATTTTTATTTTTAAATGATTACACATTCACAGGAGGTTGCAAAGAAATATGTAGGAACATCACATTCACTCTTCTCCCAATGTGAGTGTCTTCCATTATAGAACAAGGTCCAAACCAAGCGACTGACATTGGGGCAACCCTTAGCATTCGCTCCAATTGCACTTTTTTGTGTATACACATTTGTCTGTGTGTGTAGCTCTGGCCAGTTTTATTACACAGAGCCTTGTGTAACCACCACAATCAAGACACAGCTGTCTGATCATCTCAACACTCCCCTATTTACCTCTCCCCTTTATTACCACGTCCACCCCCTTCCACACTCCCCAACCCCTGGCAACCACCCTCTGTTGCCATCTCTACAGTTAGGATCTATCCTGAATGTTACATAAATGGAATGGTGCATGTTATATGTATCATTTTGAGATTGCCTTCTATTCATGCAACATCATTTCCTTCAGATCCATTTCAGTAGTTTGGGTTTATGATTTTGCTTTTCTTTAAAATGAATGTCTCACTGTCATCAGTATGAGGCTGATTCATGTCTACCTTTGCCCTTGTACATGACATTTCCTCCTTCTATAAGACTGTACACCAATCTTTATTCATTTCTTTCTTCAGAGCATAACTTAACCCTGATTTACCTGACTTACCTCTTTTTTCCTTATCAACTGTGTATGCCTCATATGTACCATTTTCCACTTGCAGGTAGAAGGCAGGGACCTGTCCAACATATCTGTCTATTCCTAACATCTAGTGCAGTGCCTGAAATGTAGTAGGTACTCAGTAATTAATATTTGGATGAATGAGTGATTAAAGTGACTCTCTTTAGTTCTTGCATTGTGTTTCGAGTATGTGTTGTCTTCTCAGCTAGACTGGACGCTCCTCGAGAGCAAGTGCATTCCGTTCCCCTGTTCCCGATCTTGGTTTCCATGGAGACTTATCTACATTTGCCGTAGACACTTGTTTGTGGCTTCAGTGAGGATGTCTTTGAGTGTATGCCCCTGTGTATGTCGGGATGATGAGGGCAGGAGTGTTTATGGTCCTGGTTTCCCAACTGCCCAGCCTGACTTCCCACAGTCAGCAAGATGGACTTGGAGATGTCGGGGCTGAAGACCCTGGAGCACGTGGCAGTGACGGTCTTCATCACACACCCAAGACGTGGCAGCTTGGAACTGAAACTGTTTTGCCCCAGCGGCATGATGTCGCTCATCGGTGCCCCCCGAAGCATGGACTCGTAAGTACACCTGAAACAAGGAGCTTTTCAAGAAGGATGCTGATGCTGTCCTCAGCTCTCAGGTGCTGATGCTCTCCTCAGCTCTCGGGTGCTGATGCTCTCCTCAGCTCTCGCGGAACCAGCTCTCCTGGGCAGCTGGAAGCCATCTGTGGCACGTGTTAAGTAAATTACAGTGCTTCCTCTGTGTTTGGCACTACATTTTACATACATTATCCCTAAACCTTCTAAGAGCCCTGAAAGAACCTATTTTATAACTTCCTTTTACAGATGAGGAAATAAATCACAGAAGCAGTAAGTTCTTGAGTAGGAAGTTGAAGCCTGACTTCAAAACTTGTGGTCTGTCCAGTCTTGCTTTCCAGCTCTACATTGATGCAGTCTTGCTTTCCACAAGAGCTGATGGCCAAAGGGACAATACTTGTCAGGAATACAAGTCAAGACACAGGCCCAGGTGGCTGCCACTCAGGCAACAGCCGCTCCATTTTCATGGCTCAAGTATGTCAGAGATGATGAGGATGGCACAAGACAGGACAAGGTTCAGATCTGTTGTTCATAGAGTCATACTTGACGACATCTTAACAACAGTAACAGAAAGAGGCGCTTGGTCCCTACACTGTGCCCTCCAAGTGTTCTGCTTTGTTCTTCCCCCAGGGATCCCAATGGCTTCAATGACTGGACCTTCTCCACTGTGCGGTGCTGGGGGGAAAAAGCGAAAGGGACCTACAGGCTTGTTGTCAGGGATGTAGGTGAGACCCCACCCGGGCACTCCCTCCTATTGCCATGTGTTTGTGCTCTGAAGCTCAGAGTCCTGGTTCCTATGTGGAATACCTCATAGATGCCCAGGAAGTGTGCTCCATCCAGTGAATGGGTGCTGACATCCGAAGCTCTGTCTACCACCTCTCCTGTTTATTGGGAAAGCGCCAATCCATTTTCCCTCAGGATAGCAATAGAAATTCCTTGCTGAAATTACACTGCAAAGGCCTTTCCCACATAATCATCCCTCAGCCAGTTTAGGGGGGCAGCAATGATGGGGACTAATTTTCCCCATTTTTAAAAAAAAACTGTGATTGAGGGAGCTCTGGTGGCCTAGTGGCAAGAAGCTGCACTGGAATCCCAGAGGTACACAGTTCAAATCCACCAGATGCTCCGCTGGAGGAGGGGCAGTCTCCTCCTGTACCAGTCAGATCTGATTTGACGGTACACACACATACACACACACACACACACACACACACACACACACACACACATAATAATAAAATAAAATAAAAACTTAAAAAAAAAAAACACAAAACTAACTGAGATCAGAGATATGGAATGACTTGTGTAGGGCCATGTGGTAAATTAAGTGAAGAAACTAAAAATGAACTCAACTTTGTAAATTACAGTCAACTCAAATATTCACTACATCAATGGTTTTCAAAGTTTTCTTTGTTTCATTGGAAGGACTCTCCCCTACCCCAGCTGTCACTCCCGCAAAATCCCACTCAAAAGAGAAAAATGTGAAGGAGATAAAAGTAAAGCTTCTCGGGAGACTAGGGGTGCCACCTTTCAGTCTCTCCCTACCCACCTCCCCAGGCCCTCCCTGAGGTCCCTCTGTAGCACTCTGGATGGGGGGGGGGGGGACACAGCAGGCCACCTGACCTGCTGCCCTCTGGATGATGGTCGGGCAGGTAGGGCCTTTGCTGTTTGACATCTCTAATGGAGTGGCATGGCTGAAGGGTGGACCTCCTTTGCTGTCCCAGGAGACGAACCTCTCCAGTCTGGCATCCTCTGGCGGTGGCAGCTGACCCTATATGGCTCTGTGTGGAGTGCAGTGGACATCAGGGACAGACAGAGGTACGTAGAGCTGCATGTGCCAGAGAGAAGGCACGTTTTGGAGTGTGGTGAGAACAATGAGGACGCTAAGGCCCTAAGACGCTCACTATGTACCCTGCCTGTGTTCCCAGCTCAGGAAAATGGATGCCTTTGTGTTCCAGAGAGAACCCAAAGTGTGCTCCACCCCTTTTTTCTCTGGGACTCCCCTCTCTTCAACTCTCAGATGGGAGGATGGGAGAAGATAGATGGTATAACAACCTTCAGTCGGGCGTCTTTGTCCCCTTTTCTTCTCCACAGGCTGTTAGAAAGTGCCATGAGTGGAAAATACCTCCATGATGGCTTCTCTCTGCCCTGCCCACCTGGGCTGGAAATTCCTGAGGAGGATGGTTACACTATCACTCCAAACACCCTCAAGGTACTAAGGCCGAGATTCACGCTGCGTGAGCTGGGTGGTTTAGTCATTAGTGTGATACTCAGAGTGACTGGGGAAGTTTGAGGGATGAGAAGATCTTGTTCCCCACCATGCTTTCCTGGAATTTTTCCTGTTCCAGCTAACTCGGATGGCACCCTTAGAGGGAGGTGGTAACTTCCTGAAGGAGACACTTTCTGAGTTTATTGTTCTGGGTTAAAAAGGCTCAGAGCTTTGCGAAAGGGCCCCTAACATAAATGTTTGTATTTCCTCCAGACGCTGGTGCTGATAGGTTGTTTTACCATCTTCTGGACCATCTACTACATGCTGGAAGTGTGCTTGAGCCAGAGGAATGTGGCCTCTGCCCCAGTTTACAGGCGTGGACCCTGCCACAGTCCCCACCGGAATCGAAAAACCAGGGAGAAGGGGACAGAATTTGAATCCATGCCCCTTCGTGCCAGCAAAGATCCAGATGAGGCGGAGACTGAGAGTAGGGACCCTCCCACGACCCCCACTTCCCTTGCCCCAGACCTGATGGACCAAGCAAACTGGAGCCTGTCCCAGAACATCAAGAGTGTCCTGGACTCCCCTCATCGGCACTCGTCCCCAGACCTATTACAGGGAAAAGAACAGATGTGCTGACCTCAGAGCCTGACAGATGCAACATGGACTTGGCTCTCCCTTCCTTAAATGGGGGAAGCTTGGAAAGTGCGCCCAGCTCCCAGACCTCACTGGGAGCTCTGGGGACTAAGCAGTCCTGCTCATGTCGGGAATCCTGCTCACATCAGGAATCCTGAGGCCTAAAGAGTATCCTCTAACTGCTCGGGAGGCGGAGGGCCTCCTCGAAAAGCAGGTGGTAGAAGAATGGTGCCCTTAGCAATCCGGTCAGAGCCATAGGATCTTCCTCAAACTTTTGGTGCCAAGGGCTTGGACAAGAAGATGGCCCCCAGTTGGGCAGGCCTCAATCCTATTTTGTGGAGGCAAGCCAGTGGTGTGGGTCACAGGGACCCCAAGCCATGCATGGCTGAGAGAGAAGGTGCCTACCATAGCCATAGGAGTATCTCAAAAGAAACTTGGAAAGTCCCTTAGGAAAATCACCAAGAGTGGAAGCTGGGAAGACTCCCTGGCCAAGCCTGGGGCCTAGGCGTACGGACCAAGGGCCCAGAGACAGCTAGCTGCCTTGTCTTCCTGCCATAGAGCAGGACCTTGGACATGTTGGTATGGCAGTTAACCCTCAGTCCATCATCCTTGCCCTGAAAGCAGCTGCCTTCCTGATCCATCCCCCACCCTCCTCATGAAGGATTGGTCCAATGCCGCTGCAGAGCTGGAGATGGACAGGGCTCCCCGGGCCTGGCTGGACCATCAGGGACCATCTGCAGTTGGGCTGTAGAGCTGTGCTCAGACCTCAGTGTGTGGTTTAGAGGACAGTCTGGGGAGCCACTGCCGCTTCAGTTCTGTGACCACCCTATCTTCCTCTGCAAAGTGCTCAGGGAAATGGCCTTCGCCATGGAGGCCAGCTGTCTACCCAACAGGCTGTGACTCTTCCCGCCATTCTCGGCCTCCTCCTCTCTCATGGGCTAATTGGTTGACTTAATTATTTCTAATGCTTCAGACTTGGTTTTCTCTTTTCACAGCAACATTTTGTTGAATGTTTTTTCCCCTGCACAGCTTTTCAAAAATAAAAACCTTTCAAACCTTTCTGTCCACTCCCCATCTCTGCTTTTTTCTGCCTCCTCAAATTGAATGCCAGTTGGCAAGTTGTTCCTCATTTTCATCCATAAACCTCACTTGCCTCCCATTGCCCAGTTCCTCTGAAAGAGTTTTACTCCCTGCACTCCTGGAAAGGATCCCTAGTAACATAGGGCTTAATGTGTTGGGCTGCTAACTGAAAGGTTGGTGGTTCAAATCCACCAAATGCTCCAAAGGAAAAAGATGGGCACTGTCATCTCATAATAATTAAAAGCATCGAAATCCATTGGAGAGTTCTTTGAATTGGAACTGACCCAACCGCAGGGGTTGGTTTTGGTGTGGACTCTTGGATGGAAAGGGCCCTTCGAAGGATGGATGGTTTCCTCCAGAAACACAAGATGCCTATGTGTTCCCTTCTCCGATTTCCTGGAACCATAGTAGAAGTGAGCGAAGCAAATCAAACACTGTCATCAAGGATTGAGAAAAGATTAATGTATTTTTTTTTATTTCGACCCAAAAAAATATTCCAGAAAAAAAAATATAGGGGAAAAGGGTTGGGCTGGGTCTCCTTCAATGGACAGTTGCTGCCAAGGAGGGCAGTGGACTTGGTCCACACCATGGCTACCCCAAGCCCGTGTCCCCCTGCTTTGCTCTGGACAGGGAGAGATAGTAGAGGCGGGGGTGGGGGGGAAGTGGGAATGGGAGAGAGGCTGGACAGGGCAGTGGTGCTAGGGGGTAATGAGTGGGGCTGAGGAGGGGTGGGAGGAACTGCCTAAGTGCAGTCACCTTTGCTCAGTGACAGAGGCTCAAAGCTTGGCCAAGGCTGCAGGGATGACACAGGTGTGGGTGAGGCAAGCTAGGCAGGACGGCTGCAGCCGACGAGCTGGGAGCGGCAGGTTCAGGGCTGGCCCTCCACCTTCTAACTGATGATCTGCCTTGGTCGTCCGTAGCCTGTCATGCCGGCCTGGGAGGCCCCTCTGTTACTGCCCATCTGCAGGCCAATGACATGCTTGCCCTCCTGCAGTTGGCTCTCTGTGAATTCCCTCTTATGTTCCTGGGCTTTCCTAGAAGAGAAGAACCAGAATCAGCGCTTGCTAGGGCGCCATGTTTTCCACTTGTTTTCTGTTTCCGGTTCCTTCCTAGGCCAATCCCACTCCTTTCTGGGTTCGTTTTTTCTTTCTCTCCAGTTGAGCTTGCCCGGTTTGGGCAGACTAGATAAGCCCCCAAAAGTAGAAAAATAACAAGAAACAGCAAGGACTCATTGCCTCATCCCTGCCCTTTTCCCAGCCCGTTGCTTCTTATTCTCTTGGTTACTCACTTCCCCGTGTGATTCCTCAAAACTGACATTATAGCCTAAGCCACCTGCCACCCCAGTGCAGAGGCCTAGGCCTGAACTGGGAGAATCCCTGGGGCCGACATACTTCATAAACCAGTTGGGGTCTCCACGGTAGTGCCCATCATTCTTGGTCACTGCCAAGCTGCCCAATGCCATCAGGGTTCTCTGCACTGCTGCCATATCTTTGCCTGTGAGAAGAAAGAGAAGATGAATGTCAGGACTCCAAGCCAGAGCCCGCCCAAATCTCCCATCAAAAATACACCTCTCGTTCTGGCATGTTTTTATCTTTCCCCCTTCTTGCTGCAGCCTCCTGTCCCCCTGTCTCACTCTCTCCTCAGCCCCTCTTCTTGTACCTTCATAGAGGTCCACAGTCTGGAACATGTCGGTCTTGGTGACCCCATAGTCCTCGGCTGCCTTCAGGAACTGAGCCACCTGCTCCATCTGCTTGAAGACCATGGAAGGTGGGTTCTCAGGCACCTTCACTGGCTTGGCGCCATCAGGATAGAGGCTGTTCACCAGCTTGCTTAGAATCTGCCAGGCAAGAGACACAGCTTAGCTTAGCATTCAATGCAGGATGCCTGCCCCCAGGCCTCGCAGGATGATGCAGCCCCAGCCCCTCTGCCGGTGCCACTTACCACGCCGTTCTTCAGCCAGACCTGGAAGCCCAGGCGCCCACGGTCCGGACGACCCACGTCGGGGCCACACTGCATTACTATCCACCCTACCAGCCGCTCCTCCAGGTCTTCGTCATACTTCTTCTCGATTTTGCACTGCACTTCACGGCTCATGCCGTAGGAAGGACCTTTGTTGGCCATGTTGGGAAAAGCTAAAGCAGGATGAGGCAGAGGAGGGAGAGGTCAGAAGACCAGGGAACAGCTCTTTCCTTGTGCCATGCAGCCCTCAAGCTCTGTGTAGGGTGCCCAACCATCCTTGGCATCTCTACCCCCCTCACGTCCTGGTTTCGTTTTCATAACATTGCCGTCTGGGCCAGGCTCATCCCTTCAGTCCACGGGAGCCTCTCTAAAATTAGATATCAAATATTTGGAGGTCTAAAGCAGGGATCAATGTTTTTCCTGTAAAAATCAAACAGTAAATCAATCTTTTAGGATTTATAAATCACATTTTCTCTGTTGTTATAGCGTGAAAGCAGTCATAGAGAGTATATAGACAAATGAAGTTTATCAATACAACTTTATTTATAAAGCAGGCAATAAGATGGATTTGGTTTATGGGTTACAATTTGTTTACCCTTGGTCTACAGCATCCTCTTTTTTGTTTGTTTTTATTTTTTTAGAGAATTATCTTTTTTTTTCCTTGCCAAAATTGGAGGAAGAGGCCTTCCTGAGAAAACCGCATTGTCCCCCCATCCCCAAATAAAGCCAACATATGTCTTTATCCAGCTAGGTCTCAGGTGATTTACTGTCTCAAGGAAAAAGTTACCTGCAATTCACATCTGTCCCAACTTTATTCTCTAGTCTACAATTAGAACTTTTTGCCAAATCATCTCAGCTGCTGGCCCACAGCTGAAGAGACTCAAACTTACCCACCCTGAGCAAGTGGTAGAGACCTAAAGTCCAAGAACTCTTGGCAAAGAAGCTGCATTTCCTAAGAGGAACCAGAATGAAAGGGAGAATGGTATGCCTGCTGACATTCTCTCATGCTCTTGGGCTCTCACTACTGTAGTAGCTTGAATAACCAAGAAGCCAGCGTCCTCCAGGGATAGTCCAGAGCCAAGAATCTATCTGCTACAGTTGGCAGGCCCCTCCCTGTCCAGACCCAAAAGCAGCTGCCAACCTGAAGTCTGGGGGCAGGCACTGCTCGGAAGAGCCTTGCAGAACAGCAGGACTGAGCAAGCTGCAGGGCACACGTGGGTGTGAGCACCCAAGGGGTCACTGACCTCACATCAGGGATCCCCTGGCCACAGGGTTCCACTTAGAGTGGGGTCACTCTTGTCCAAAATTTTTCTGAAGAGAGCACTAAAAGAGGTACCAAATGAAACCAAACCCATTTATTAGGCTCACCTTGGTCAGAGAGATTGGAAAAGGTGGGGGGAGGTGGATGAGCAAGAAAATGGACTGACGGAGATGGCCAATCCCAACCACTTTCTCTTATCAGAACTGAGACCTTCTCTCTCCCCATTCCCATCACTGTAGAAGTAGAATGACATGACGTCATCACATCACACTCCTCAACAGCTGCTAAACTCATTATGCAAGACCCTTTTTCATATGAAGGACAACTTTCTGAGCTCATTTCCCATCTGTGAATTGAGACAACAGTGTTTACATTAGAGAATGCTGAGAATTAAGTGAGATGATGTCTGTGAAATATCTAACACAGGCCTGATAAGTAGCAGAGCTCTGAAAGATTCAGTCCTTTGTCCCGCAGAGCCCATACCATGTCCTGGCTGTGACCTGGGAGGAAGCTGTGCTTTGACTTGGATTAAAAGCACTAAGTGTTCTTCTCATTCCAGCCTCCATCCAAATGATGTGTGAGAGAAAGAACTCTGGATGGAGTTTCAAAAGCGCCTTGGACAAGTCACTCCTCTCTTATTTGTAAACTGGGTCTCCTCTGAGGGTGTGGAGGTGAGGTAAACTTTCCCACCTCATTGTGCCATTTCCAGCCCAGTCCATCGTGCCACTAGAGTGAAAAGCCAGGCTGCTCTGTTCTCCTCACCAGGTAGCTGCAAACGGCAAGTCCTTTCCCCCACCCATATGCACACCTTGCTCCCACTTTAGCTTTTATCTCCAATTCTCAATCACTAAGGATTCGGCAAATAACTGTAATAAAACAAAATCCAGAAGTCAGATGGAACCTAGTCAGTTCTATATCCTAGCCTCCAAGCCAGCCGCAGCCCCAGGCTTTGCCTCATCCTAGGCAGCTGCTTCATGGAGGGGGCAGCCGCGCCCTCTTAACCCCTGCCCTGCTCTCTCTCCCCTCACACCCTCCCAGACCTAGTGTGGGCATGTGGAAAACAGGCCAGAAAGAGACGGCTTTGCGTCTCAGGATAGTAAGAACAGGGCACAATTCAAGGTGTCCAAGCTTATGCTGACAAGCTCACGTGATAGCAAACTCGAGATTAAAAAGCAATGTTTGGATTTGGGCCAGGGCAATAGAAGAGGACAAAACATACACTTCCAGCCACTGCCATCTGAAAGCAGTCAGTCCTAAGAAACCTCCAGCCCCACATTTGAATGTGGGAAGAGGAAAGAGAGATGGCTTCAGGGCGGCACTAGGTGTGAGAGTATCTCTACAGAAGCTCCTAGAAGCCCCAGAAGAAGTGACTCCAAAGCTCTGCTCTGTACCTCTGTCCTGCAGCTCCCTCAGGACCCCTCCCCTCTGGGAAGCTGGGCAGTAGCAAAAGAGTCCAGACGCAGAGAGGCAGGTGCCACCTCCTGCCTGCAGAAGCCCATGAAAATCTGGCAGAACCTGGGTCTTTCCATAATTATTGTGCCCTATCCTCAAACACAGCAAGTAGGAGTGAGGCCCCTGGATCTGAGATGCTAGAGGGATAAGCACATTTAAATTCCAGGAACAAACAGTGGCCCTATCACGCCACAGTCCATGCTCACTGCTGCCAGTTGACCTGTAGTAACCACTGAGGAGTGCTGGCAGTGTCGTGATTAAATAACTTGGCTGCTAGTCGAAACGGTCAGTGGTTTGAATCCACCAGTCCCTCCACAGGAGAAAGATGCGGTAGTCTGCTTCTATAGATTGTTGTTATGTGCTGTTGAGTCAACTGTGACTCATCATGACCCAATGAACAACAGATTGGAACTGTGCCGTCTTCACAGCCTCCAACACATTCAAGCCCATTGGTACAGCCTGAGAATTCCTTTGGGGTGCTTCTCCTCCACTCTGTCCTCTACAGTTGGAATAGCCTTAATGACAGTGGTTTTCACTTTTTTAAACCACTGAGAGGAACCATCAAGACCTTTTAGAAAAGGCCTCGGATCCCAGGCTTCCCAGCCCCGTGTGAGCAGCCCAGCCCATCATCCCAATGCCCTTCCTTGGCGGCACCCTCTCAGTGCCCGCCCACTCTCCCACTGGCAGACTACAGAAGGAACGGCGTTTCTGGAACAACAGCTCTCTCACCTGGTCCAATACCCTGCCACCCCACACTGCCACAGGCAGGCTCTGATGGCTCCCACCTGTACAACACGTCCGAGAGTTGTGTCTTTGGCTAGAAATGAGAAACCTCCCTCCACTCCAGCTCCCAGGTTTCTCCCACCAAGTACTGTGCACCAGCCTGTTCCTGTTATGTGCCTTCGCTTTGACTATGACTCATAGTGACCCTAAGAACAATTTCTCTGAACTCTGTCCTGTCCTGAGCTAATCTCACTGTCCTTGACACACCAGTCTCACTGACACAGTCACTGTGTCAATCCATCTCATCCAGTTTTCCTCTCCCGCACTGACCCTCCGCCCTTCCAAGCATGAAGTAGCTGCTCTTTCTTCTGCCAGGTAGCAGCCAGTGCTTTTATAAAGCAAAGCCCCGGGCAGCCCTAAGAGTCCTGGGAGAGAAATGCAATGCCATCTCACCATCAACCTAAGGCCACCTCCCACCTTCTTAAAGATGAGGAACCAGACACCTCCAGGCTTGCTGAGGGAGAGGAGTGGTCTCCTCAGAGCCCTGCCTGTCAGTGCACTCATGCTGCTCTCAAGCCCCTCGCAGCTCTCCCCTGACCCCAGACCAACGCACTTACAGGAATTGCTCAGACTCACAGGAGTTCAGTCTCAGTGTCTGGGGCTTGGAAGGACAGGGCAAGGCACTGGCGGGGTGCGGGGTTTAAAGGGCTGGTGTTGTGATGATGTCAGCCTCTCCTGCCACTTTAGCCCTCAGCCCCCTCCTTGCTGGAGGAAACCAGCTCCCTTCCCCACCCCCAGCCCCCTCAGTGACTCCACACAGGCTCCATATTTGGGGAAAGACACCAAGTTGGAGCAGTCTGCCGGGGGCTGCCGAGACATTCCCTGCGTGCTTTGGAGATGGAGCGGGAGGGAGGGGCTGTGCTGCCAGCGGGGAGCGGGCCGGGAAGAGCCTTTTATGGACAGGACCACGGAGGCCTTCCTTGCCATCTGAACTTGGGGCTGCTCCTTCTTCACTCTTCCTGCTCCCCAGAGTTTGAGAGGAGGAGGGGGAAATTCAAAAGAGCAAGAGCGTTGTCAGAGAGTGAGGAAAGAAGTTGGGAGGCAGTGGATTCTAAGGTTTTCGGGAGCAAAGCACCCTCTCCTACCAGGGCTTCTAGTCCTGCTTGAGTATGGGACTAGCCTTTACTACATGCAGTTAGGACACGCCAGGTACTTTGCAGACACTCATGTAATATGTTACATTCTCTCATTGCCGTTTACTCAGAATTGACTCGGAGCTGACCCTCCTTTGGGGCTTCAGAGGCTGTCAATCACAAAGAAGGAAAGTGCCCATCCTTCTTCCATGAAGCAGCTGGTGGATTTGAGCCAAGTCTTCGAGCTGACAGCACAACTCCCTACCCACTAGACCACAAGAGCGAGAGCTCCCTAATATGTTACAATGTGAGGGTGTAATTACCCTACTTTACAGATGAGAAAACAGAGGTTCAAAGTATGTCTTATTCAATGTCACATAGTGAGCCACAAGGGGCAGAGCTGGACACGGCAGCTCTCAGGATATGTGGAGATCTCAGTTGGGAAGAGTCTTGATTTTCATGCTCCAGTTGGGGGTGGGACTTCAACATGACACTCTGGGTTCCTATGTAGAGCCAATGACAGTCTCTGAAGCCTGCAGGGCTGGAGACAGGATTGTTGGCCAGAATACTCAAGAGAGGGGGCTGAGCCCCTCCATCTCCCACCTCCAAGACCACTGTTGTTATGTATCATCAAGTTAGAACCCATTAATAGCTGATGGTCAAGCAGGTGTTTGCTGTTGTATACTGTCAAGTTGGAATTGGCCCATAGATGACCCTCCAGGTTTTCAGAGGCAGTGAACTAACTGCCCATTCCTTCTCCACAGAGAGCTGGTGGATCTGAACTATGTGTCTTTGAGATTGCAGCAGTTTCTTCCCACTAGGTCACCAAAGAGGCTGCGAATCACAAGGGAGGAGAGTGTTGGTTTTTTCCAAGGAGCAGCTGGTGGATTTAAACTGTCACCAGAATTCTCTTCCAGGACCAACTGTCTTTACCTACCCTAGATTTCATTTTACTTGAATCACCAATCAACAACTATTATAGCAGCAGTTATCAAAAAAATGTATTACACTGAGCACATCTGCTGTCAAAGACCTGTTTAAAGCGCTAAAAGCAAAGATGTCACTAAAAAACCAAGCTGTGCCTAGCCGAAGCCTTGTTATTTTCAATTGCTTTCTATGCTTCTGAAAGTTGGACAATGAATAAGGCAGATCGAAGTGGAATTAATGCCTTTGAACTGTGGTGATGGAAGAGAGATTTGAATATTCCATGGATTATCAAAAGAATACAGTCTGTCTCAGAAGAAGTGCCATTAGGGTGCTCCTTAAAGGCAAGGACGGGGAACTGTCTCCTAGACTTTGGGTATGCTGTGAGGAGGGACCAGTTCTTGAAGGTAGAGGGTCAGCAAAAGAGAAGACCCTCAAAGAGATCAGCAGTGACTATGATACAAAGGGCTTGAGGGTATCAGAGATTGTGAGGATGGTGTGAGATAGGCAAGGCTCTGATTTCTATGAATTATAGTCTACTCAATGGCACTGCACATTTTAGAAAACAGACAAGACCCCTCATGCCAGGAAAGACTTTGACTCATATGCCCCCAACCTCCTTTTCCAAGGCAGGCAGGGGTCAGCCTCAGAAAGCCCACCAACCAGTCTGCTTCGGTTAGTCCAGAGCCTAGCGGTATATGGAGGTATACTGCCTCCCAGCGGTCCCAGAAGAGAAGAGCAGGTGGTGTAGCTGGGACTCGGCAACCACTTTTGATGCCCTGAATCCAGTCTTCTGGCTGTGTACCGAATTCACCAATTTCTTTGCTTCTAAATATTGCCTTTTAAAAACTGTTTAAATGTAAATTTCTCTCCTCTTAGAGCCTGCCTATTCACCCTGAGCACTCCAACATGGGTGCCAGCCAACATGCTCACTGAGCGTTAAGCAGCATCAACACTGCCTGCAATGGACTCAGCTGGGATGGGCTCACATCTACAAACATCAACAGCATGGAGAGAAGATTCTTCAATACTAACCTTTGCCCAGCACAGTGTCTAGCACAGAGTAGACCCTTGATAAATGCTTACTGAATGAACACTATGGCTCAAAGAGGAGGCAAAACTAGGGAATCGAAGAATTGCCCTTTCCAATGTGATCACAGCTTGGGAAATATAAAGTTCAACCAGAAGGAACGGGAAATAAAGGATCCCCACGCTCCCCTCACTGCTCTGAACGTCTCTCCTGACACCCAGGAAAGAGATTAAAAAAAAACAGCAGGGCTCAAGACTGTGTCTGGTTGTTTCTTTAATTGAATGCAGACTCATTCATAGAAAACAGAAATGCAACCCCAGCATGGAAACAGACAAAACGGAGTTCTAAAAAAGAGATCAAGACCCGCCTCCTCTCCCCAGTCACAGGAGAGCAATAAAAACGAGTTTGGGTGAATGAAACACATTCCTGTCCCAAGACAGAGCACTGGCCTGCACCTTCCCTGTCCTTGGCATCCGGAATGGACAAGTGGGGTGATGGAGAGCCAAGGACCCGAGGAGTCACAGGGCCCAGAGCTGGGGAAAATTCAGTTGTAAACTCCGAAGTTTTACAGGGATGTAAGTGTGCTGCGACAAACACAGAGTTGGCTGAAAACTGGACGGTAACTTAGAAGCCAGCCCCGAGTCCTAGTGCGAGGCAAGGACTGGGGACTTGAAGGGTTATAAGCACGTCCCTTCCTTTGCCCCGTCAGACAGGTATGAGGTCTCACTGGGATGTGGCGGAGACCAAATGGGCTGGGTTCTTTGTACCCTCGCCCCTTTGCCCACCCCTGGACATTCTTGGGCAATGTCAATGGCACTGAAAGGCCCCAAACTGGGGTTTGGCAGGATGAAAGGTCTTGGAAAAAAGGAAGAATTTCTTTTCCATCCAACCCTGGTGCCAGCATCAGTCTGGGGGCCTGATAGGGTGGGGAGGTGACCTCTGAAATGCAGCCTGACCCTCACTGCTAAAGGGTCAGGCCCCAAGCACAGATCAGAGAAGAGGCACCGCTGCCCTGGGCCTCTCACAGGTGTTAGCACCAAAAGCACCTGTATCAGCTGGCCAGCCCCATGTGCATCACCATGCATCCTGGCTGAACGGGGGTGGGCAGTGATGACAGCCAGGTACAGCCCCACCAAGAACCTGGGTCCTGGTGCAGGACAGAGTATCACGCCCCAGACTGGGGTTCTGGAGCAGGAGCCTAGGATGTAGAAAAGTCATAGGGTCCCAGGCTGAAGGGGATGGAAAGGACGGGCAGAATGCAAGGCATGATATGGGAGAGCAACGTCTTCCCTCCTTCCTCCTGCAGAGGGACAAACGGAGAGCCAAAGGACAGGGGCCCATTGACAGCCCCAACACTGAGAAAAAAGCAGCAATTTGGCCATTGTCTGGGGCTTCCAGGGAGCAGGCCTCCTCCCCAGCCACCAGCAGGGTTCAAGGCCACCGCCGAGAATGTCCGGGGGGCCAGCCCTGGTCTAAGTCACACTGCTCCGCCCCCATCCAACACTGGACGGCCAAGGCTGGGACTCACACCCCCAGTTCCATGGGGACAAGTGAGGCAAAGGGGCTCAGGGTCCCCATGAGGTGACACAAAGGGCCCAGCTCGTTCTAGAAGACGTAGATCTTGTCCCGCTGCACGGTGTCCAAGTCGTCATCCAGTGTCAGCAACACCTGGTGGGACAGAGGTAGGAGAATGCAGGGAAGTGGAGGGTGTCAGGCTCAGGAAGGAGGTGACATCCACCCTCCCTGCCTGGGCCACACTTATCTCACACACCAGGAAAGACCCAAACATGGCGATGGAGGAGAGGAAGTGCCAGATGTCATGGTCATCAAAGAAGTCGAGGAGGATGCAGTCCCGGTTGTGTTCCCGTGACTCTGCAGGCGTTTTCTGGTGGGAAATAGGGAAGAGAGCACCTGCTAACAAGCCTCAGGACAGCAGCAGCCCGCTCCACCTTGGGGGCACTCTGCTCCCAGCGCACTGGCGGGAAAGCACCTCTCTCTGACTCGCTCATTTCCCTTGTCTCCCACATCTAACAGGCAAATTCTGAGGAGGCTGGCTGCTTCTGCCTTTTCTTTTACTCTTGTTCTCTTCAGAGTCTTACTCTCTTTATCTAACAGCCCAAGGCTGTGCTTGCCTTTAGAAGCCTCCAACTTGGGGGATACCGGAAGGCCACTGGAGCCCCCTCATTCATTTCCTGACCTCAGACATTGATCCTGCTCGACCCACTCCCCCTACAGCTCCGGTGGGTGCTTTTTCTCCAAACCACTGTAGTGAGGCCATACTGACATTCCAGGACCATGGTGGCCATGACTCATAGGCTACAGTCTACGACCTTTAACCTCTATGCTCTGCTCATAACCTTTATTCAGCATTTACTGAATAGGCTCCCTTCAAAGGCCTCACAACACAAGACTCCTTCCTCTGAGGTCCTGGACATTCTCCCTGTCCCAGCTGGCCTGAACCCTTCATTTCACGTATCCTGTTGCATAACAGCAAGATAAGAATTAAGTCACTCCCTTAAACGACACAGGATTAGCTTCTCAAAGGCACAAATTATGCAGACTCAGTTCTGATCTCAGATCTAAAGCCTGACACAAGGACAGTAGGTACCTCAGGGAGTCAAGGAGAAAGCCCCACAACTCTGACTTCAGAACCAGCTGTGCCTCTCCTATGACCCTGGGTGAGTCACCTGGCCTCCTGCAGCCTCAGCTGCCTCGTAAGTAAAATGAAAATTCCTCTGTGAAAGATGTTAGGACTAAAGGTGAAAGCAGCCGGGACAGTGCTAACCCACAGGAGGTGAGTCACAAAAGACTATGAAAACAGAGATTCTGCCATTTGCTGCGGCTGGATGGGTTTGCGGCCAGCTCCCCCAACCCTCTGAGCACAACGATTACTCACCTGCCAGGTGCTGAGTCCCTGGAAGAAGAAGAAGAGCGCAAAGCCCCAGACCACAGACGTGCAGATGATGCACAGCAAGGGGATGAGCTTGATCCTCTCCCCGCTCCGGAGCTGGGGGTTGAGGAAGGGAAGAGCATGAGGGTCCAGCCTTTCCACATGCTGCTTTCCCACTGTCCTCTTGGGAAGCAGCCAGGAGGGCCCCTTCAGGAAGTCTTGCTGAGTGCACAGACCACCTCATAGAGTCACACAGCTTGGCTTGTCCCTGTGCTAGCAGCCTGGTATCCTTGCTTCTGATGTCCACCCAGGCTGGACCTCCACGCACTCAAAGCTCACTGCCAGGAGTCTGCCAGCCATGAAGTTCTCTATCTCCAGGGGCTCTTCCACACTAGCTGATTTGGAGGTCCTTAACACGTTGCCACACACTTTTAAATTGATGACTGTGCTTAGAAACACATTTTGCTGTCATTTGCGGCAACATGTTAATAGCCCCTTATCCCCTGCTTCACTTGGTGCTCAGAGGCCCAAACCCAGAGATTTGGGCCTCAGAGACTGAACAGCTTCAACTCCTCTCAACAACTTCATATTTAATGAGAGTTTTACCATCTGCTGCCTGAAATGCCACCAGTTTCACAGACCATTTTAAGACCATGGAAGAGACTCCGTAAATGGCTTTTATGAACATAATTGGCTCCTTGAGGTTGCCCATGGGGTATCTGGAAAGAGTTTTGACTTCTCTCCCCCCCAAATCCCACTGGGATCCACAGATTGGCAAAGACTAATATGCATTAGAATGCCCTTCCTTCTCAGTGTTGCCCCAAGCAGGTGAACTCATCTCCCCTTGTAAAAGGCAAGGCAGTGAGCATTGAAGGCTCAGCCAGTCCCCCTCACCTTCATGATAATGTAGAAGGCAAAGTAAAGAAGAAGGTTGCAGATGCCGATGGCCAACAAGTAGGAGGCAAAGTCATTGGGACGCATGATGAGCCCATAGGCAGCCCTGGTAAGAAAAGGGCTGGTGAAGCAGGGAAAGACCAGGAGCAAGGAACAGTCCTGCCTAACCTTGGCCTTCATCATGTTTTATTATTATAGGGTTGAGTCCAGAAACCCACAGAACATTCCAGAACTGGATTCCAGGTGCACCTTCGCCCTATCTCTTTAGCCTCTATTTCTCTCTTAACTGGAAGCTGAGATAGATCCCAAGGCCATCAGAGACTGAGACCCCAACTGCTTGCTCACCAAGTTCCCACAGACAAGAGCTAGACTTACAGAGACCAGTTGATAATGTTGCCCATAATCAGCAGCACCATGCGGTCCTGGAGGGAAGCAGAGACACAGGACTGAGAGAGGGGAGGGCTGCAGGAAGGGGGAAAGAGAAGTGGGGACCAGGTCAGCTGGTCTCTCCCCCCTACCCTGGGCTCTCTGCTCTGCCTGTCCCACCCCCAGTGGAAGGAAGAGAATGTAAGACAGAGGAAGGGGCTGGGATGCTGGGCAGGTACCACATAGAGGGGCCCACTGCACTGCCGGATGCAGTCTGTGTAGAGCACGTGGAGGATGCGGCGGAAGATGCCGGAGTCTGCAGAGGGAACAGAACAGTGCTGAAAGGCACCAACTGCCTGCTTTCCTCCAGATAGTCCCCTCTCAGTGTGCCAGGGCCTTCAAGGCCTTCCTCACTAGGCGATTTCCCAGGGACGCCAGAACTTAAAAGTCTCCCATGTCCAAATGCCTGTGGTCACTAACCCCACACCAAGCAGGGTGTCCTAGGCCTCTCCTGCCTCCCTCCTGTCCCGCCTTGGACAGGCCCTCACCCAGCTTCCAGCGGCCCATGTAGTAGAGCTGAGTGCTGAGCAGCAGGGTAGCAATGATGTGAATGACAGAGAAGACAATCCAGAATGCTGTGTTCCCTTTGCCAAAAACCTGTCAGGAGGTTGCCAAGGGCAAAGATGAAGAGGTCCTGATGGGGTACCACTCTGGGAGAGCCAGGCTGGTTGCACGGCCCGGCTGGGCATCTCAGGGAAGGCATGCTGGGGCGGGGGGGAGTGTCTCCTCTCGTGGGAGCTGGAGAGAGGTGTGTGAGCACACAAGCAGCTGTTCCGTGGGGGGTGCACAGGGATCGGAGCGGGCTCAAGGCAGAGCAGGTCAGGCCCTCACCACGCCCAGCACAGAGAAGAAGATGACAATGGCCAAGCAGGCGTAGGCACTGTAGGCGCTGGCGTTGATGTCCGGGTGCCGCTTCTGGTAGAGCTTCAGCATGCAGAGCCCAGCGATCATGTACATGAATGACGTGTCTGGGGACAGAGCATGAAGTGAGCTAGTAAACAGCCACAGGGCCCCAGCGTGGAAACTCCAGCTTGGACCGCCAGAGTGGGAAGGGGCAGCCCCAACACCTGGCCATGGTCACAGAGTACGTGGGTGGTAGGCTGGGGCCTAAACCCCAGCCCCTTATCTCCCAAAATAGTGCTGTCCCTCAGAGGCCACAATGCCACTCCTCTGGCCATCTGACAGCATCTGAACTCGCCAGTGAAGACCAGGACAGGTAGAAGTCAGTGTGTCGGAGACTGTGAGCACCGTGTGAGGGTGACTGCACTATCTCTGTATTCTCAGGGCTAGTGCATGCCTGGGATACAGGAAGTGCTCAAAGGACAAACAACAGAGCAACTGGAGCCTCTTTCCTATGTGAGGAGGTGTGCACACACTGGCTTTCCAGCCTGGAGCCCTCACACTGGACTGAGTTCTGGAGCTCTCTGTGAGGAAGTGGCAGAAGACCTGAGCAGGTGCCTGAATTGGCAGAAGAGGGAAGCCTCACTCACCAAACTGGAAATTGGTATAGTTGGGGCAGACGTGGTAGCAGGCGCTGAGCAGTCCCTCCATCATGAGGGCTGTGCCCATGGCATAGAACAGGCCAAAGTGTTTTGGGATCCCACATTCCTATTGCGGAGAAGGGCAAATGTGAAGGCAGTAAGGTGGGGACAGAGGGAAGGAGGGAGCAAAAGAGGGAGCCCCCAAGAGACAAGACGGAGGAAAGGGAGCAGGGGAGGCGGCGGGCAGAACGGAAGCGCTGGGCCGGGGGCAGCCGCTCACCAGGGCGTAGATGTCGTTGCGCAGCAGCGCCCGGTTGTGATTGATCTCCCTCTGCAGGATGATGAGCAGGAACAGCAGCCCCAGCAGGATGTAGCCCAGGTTGCTGAGAATGTTGTTGAAGGCGCTAGAAGGGCGAGCACAGGGCACATTGCCAGGGCTGCACACCTCAGGCCCGGGCCAAGCTTTCACAGAGCTCCTCCTCCCTGCCGAGTCACCCTCTGCCCGGCAAAGGGGCCTTCCAACACGGTCCCAACCTGAGGTTGCCCAGCGGGTGAGCACAGAGGAAATTGTAGTAACAGATGTCCTGATTGCCCGTGACATTCACCACCTGCAGCAGGAGAGGGAGCAGGAGATGAGGGTGTTAAGGTGGTAACTCAGCCTAAAACCTTTGCAAAGCAGGAGTCAGAGCCTAGCCACATCAGCCATTAGGCAGAGGACAGGAAGTAGCACCACAGTCAGGTGGTGTGTATATGGTTTTAGACATGGTGATGCCAGGGGCGCAGTTATGTCCCCTTCTCACTGGGTGTGGCCGAAAGCCCTGAGGCATGGGGCCCTGGACCCACATTACAGAGAAAAGGGAAGGAAAACCAACACTGAGCAAATTACAGGCTAGTTTCACCAATGCCCATGTTGACCCAGGGAAGGTGACATCATTGGTATTGTGTCTCCTGTTTTGCAGATAAAGAAACTGATGTTCAGTGTGGTTAAGAGATTTGCTGCAGGTAAAGCAGAGGTGGAGTCTGAACCTAGGTCTCAGGACTCCAGAGCCCCAGGCCCAGTGGGTCTGCCTACAGAGGGCATAGAACCTGCAGCTGCACAGCCTGCTCAGCCCAGGGCTGCCTCTCACCGTCTGATAGGTGATCACCAGCTGCACCACTGGCAGGGCGTAGAAGACAGCGATGGTGGCGATGTTCCTGAGGAGGTGGAAGGCAGCAGTGAGGCTGTGACCCAAGAGGTGGCTACACTTGCTGTCAAACACGGGAAACCACTGCTCAGTCCACTCACCAGAAGTAGATCTGGTACTTTTTCCGCAGAACACGTTTGTCCTTCCGTGCCAGGTCGGCCACATAGAGGTATTGCTGAGGAGAAGCAGGGGTGAGTCATACACACTCACCTTCTAAGCCAAGCCATGTTCACCCAGGTCAGGGGTAGGCAAGGGGGCCCTCCATCACGCAGGCCGTAATACAGAGGAGGAGGTTTCTAGGTCATCCCATTGCCATAGGTCGAAGACCAGGGGCTGGTTAACCAGTCCAGAGGGGCAGGGAGCGGAGCCAGTCTCCCCAAGAATCCACTTGTCTTAGCTTGCTTTTCCCTGAAAACCACCCAGTGGGCCCAGACACAGAACCGCCTTCCTGGGAAACCCTGGCCAGAGCTCGGTCCACTGGGTGACAGACCTTGGTGCGAATGACATTCTTGTCGGAATCAATGTCAGTCAAGGTGTCGTAGTCGTCCTCCTCTACAGAGCTCATGGAGTCCAGTCGTGGCCGGGTGCCCACTGGGTCTAGGGGGCGGTCTGGAAGAACAGAAAGGAGAGGCTGCTCTGACGAGCAGAGGAACCCTAGGTCTGCTGCCTGCATCTGAGGCGATTGCTGAAATTACTATGCAGTGGGGAAGAGGCAAATTGTGGGCCAGGGCTCAGAGCAGGGTAGCTGTGGGCTCAGGCCCTGAGGGGAGCTAAAGTGCTCCCAAGTCCCTGGGGAAAAGAGGAGTGGACTACCCAAAGAGGTCACCGTGAAACAGGGGCCTCTCTAGCTTCCTCCAGTCCTTGATCCCTTCATGAGCTAGGGACACCAAGCAGACCCCAGACATAAGCAACAGGACTGAATTCATTAGAAGTCACTCTGATTACAAGCTGCCCAGCCCTGTGAGTTCTGAGAAGGCAATGCTTTGGTCCCCGTCGGTTAAAGACCCAACGCGCCCTGGAGCACAGGCAAGGATGAGGGGCTGCCACCACAGGAGGTATGCTCTCTTGTACACTCTTTTCTTCTTCTACCTTAAGAAGCATCTTCCTAGGTCTGTCTGGGCAAGCTCTTCCAGAGGCCAGACCAGGCCACCCTTGCTCAAGAGCCTTAGCCCAGCAAGCCAGGGAGTGAGGTGCTGGGACACAAGGCAATGCTGCCAACAGCATCTGAGAAGGCCTGAGCCAGAGAGTGGCGGGCCCAGGCAGTGGCTGGAAGCAGGGGTAGGGAACCAGCCCTCCAACCCTGGGCACTAGTGCCCGCCTATCTCAGAAGACACAGAGCCAGCAGTTATCGGCATTAGATGGGGAAGCCATGCACAAAGCATCTTTCTGGAGCCAATGGGCTCTGGTCAGCTACCCTGGCAGGAGCTGATTGGCAGAGAAGCCCCACCCCCTCCCCCACATCTACCCATGGCAATGCACAGCTGCCGCATCTGGCCAGAGGGGAGGCGCCGCTTGAACTGGTCGTGCCCTTCAAAGGAAAGGGAAAGTTACGAGGGATCTGGGGCCAGGGAGGGAAGAACAGGGAAGAGAGGGGCAAGGAGAAAAGAAGGCCCTTCCCAGCTCCCAGCATCTGGCAGAAGAGGCAACCACCCGCCATCACTCTCACCCAGCCAACACCGGCCTTACTGGCACAGCCCCTGCCCTGGCCAGGCAACTTACCCTGGTAACTATAGGACAGGTCGCCGGTGCCTGTGCTGTCAATCAAACCGTCAGTGGAGCTAGAACCATTCTCTGCAAGGAATAGTCAAATTGTGACGAGGGGTAAGGGCACTAGGCCCAACCCAAGGGGCTCTGAGCAGATGCAGAGGGCATGAGCTTCTGCCACCTCAAGGAGGCCACTTAAGGTTGTGTGTGGACAAGCGACAAGCATGACCTCTGGCTTTGCCACGTACCAAAGGAGCCATAGTTGTAACTTTCATATGGAGAGCTGCCAGGGAAAGCATCGGCCAGGATCCGGGGGTGGCCTATAATGAGAAGTCAAGGTCCCCTTAGCCCTAAAAGCAGAGGGAGACCTACAGAGATGGAAGAGTCTAGAACAGACAGGTATAGAGGGGCCATGCAGGCATCCCTATCAAGGCACCAACCAGACAAATCAACCTTGTTCCCACCACCACCCATCTAATCTTCCCCACGTCTCCTCAAGGGAAAAGCCTGCCACCTTAAGGTCTCCCGCGAGGTGGAGGAAAGTCAAGGAACTGATGCATCTAAGTCACTAACAGCCAGGAGAGACAACACCCAGCCTGCCCCATCCCTGCCTGGGTACCCCTTATATCACATCACCCTCTCCCACCCTGGACTCTGCCTCCTCTGTCTAAGAGCACACAGGCCTTACCAAGGAGAGAAGCTGGGAGAGAAGGTCCCAACCAGGAGGAGGACAGAAAGACAAGGAACGGTGAAGAAAGACAGAGAGAGATTATAAGATTAATCACTCCAGATGCTGTACACGGCACAACTTGAGACAGGCAGACAGACTAGACACAGAGAGAAGGCATCAACGGGCAGCTTTGAAGAAAGCATCTCAGGGAGGAATCAGCATTCTAGCCCAGCCCCAGTTCCATTATACTCCCAACTGATTATTCCTGAAGCACCCAGTCCTTTTTGCCTCAATCCCTGGTGGGGTGGGTTTGGGAAAACTGTTGTCTCCAAACCACAACGGCAACCCTGACCCCCACTCATGCCCCCAGGAGTTACCACTTTCTGGGCAGGCTCGGTCTAGGGACAGCAGCAGGGTTTTCTTCTTCTGCCTGAAAGGACAGAATGGGAGGTTACATGGGCAGGGCAGGACAAGTCCCACCTGGGCTGGGGGAGCCCTGCTTGTACTTAGGCTATGCCTTCCTCTCCTTGTAACCCCGTACTCATCCATGGTCCCAGGGTTCCTCCCAGCCTGGGGAGGAAGGTAGGGTCTTGCTGCTAGAAAAGGGCTAAGGTGAAGAGGCACTTCCCAGAGAAAGGGAGGGAGGACCACAGAACCTAACAAAGACTTGCCCTGCTGTGCCTCCAGCTTCACAAGGGCCCCATGGACAGTATGGAAGATTATGCTGAACAAGCTCAGACCCAACACCCACATTCACTTCCATGTATTCCCTGCCTAACCCACCCAGCCAGCTCCACCTTACCTCCAGTTCTCCCAGCAGGCCAGGAGCACGGTCAGCAGGTAGAAAGAGAGAAATATGCCCAAGCAAAAGAGCATACCACCAACATAAGCTTCGGCTGCAGGAAGAGAAGCAGAAAGGAACACATGAGCACCTTCCAAGACGGTCCCCGGCACACAGGTCCTCCATGATCCAGACTCTCACCACTGCTCTCCTCAGATGGAGGAACCAGCCCAGCTGAACAGTTTACAACTCCCCAAACAGTACACTTTAACGACTGCCACCTTTTCTCAAGTTACACTGCTCCCTCTCTGCTAGAAGGCTCTTTCCCTCCATTTTAATTTTTCTATTTTGGTGAAATACACTTAATTAAAATATCTGCTCTTCTAACCATTTTTACACGTACCACTAAGTACATTAATTTCATGCCTCATGCTACACAACCATCACCACCACCCACTCCCCCACCTTCTGTTTCTCAACAGCTCCATTCTGACTTGGCCTTCAAGATACAGCTCAAGGAACACCTTCCCCTTCTAACTCCCTTCACAGTTCCCACAATGTCCAGCTCTGCACAGCTCTCAGCACAGTGTAGCAACCACATCCCCCCATCTACCTGGCCTCCAGGGTGGCAAGTTCCCGAGGGCCTGAGGTCTTACTGGTGCATCAGGCACATAAAGGTACTTATTAAATATTTGCTGAATAAATAGCCTATATTGAAGTAATTTTGTTCCCCTCCCACAAATTCTTTTTATTTTTTACTTTCCCGTTTACACAGGGCCCCGCGCAGTCATTTGGTAAATGTTTATTAAGCACTGGCTGGAGGCCTGGGCCTTGGTTCTTTTATGCTAAAGCTCACAACTTGAGACAGTGGGACAGGTTTTTATTATCCTCATTTGACAGACAGGGAAACAGGCTCAACGAAAACTGCCCTAATACCAGGTGGCAGAGAGAGTACCAGAACCCAGTGATTGATTTTTAGTCAGGATTCAGCAGACTAGAACACACTTCCAAGCCTTCCTCATCTTACAACCAGATGAGAACAACGCACCCTCTTTCCCACTGCCCCATCCTGTCCTCATCCCCGTCCCCATTTAGAGGACATCCCAGACCCAATGTGTGAAGGAAGAGTCAGAGGCCTGTTCATGCCCCATTCAGCCGCCCACACTCACACGTGACCGCCTGCGATACCAGCACAGACAGGGTTTTCTGGCGATGCCCTTGATCAACCGGTTCATCTGGAAGGAGAAAAGCCAAACTGGTAAAGAAGTGATTGCCTAGGGCTTGGCTAGAGCTGGCACGACTAGGCCTGATGGAGTCTGGAGCCAAGAAGCTTTCTCTCATCAGAACCACCAATGAACCACACAGGCTCTTCCACCCCCTCAAGGAGTCATCGAACCCTCCTCATCCCTAGCCTGCCCCAGGACACGAAATGTACCTTCTACAAAGGGGTAGAAAGGCAAGGAACCCCCACAGGCCTGGTCTTCAGTCTTCACCACCACCACCACGTAGAAGCTATTGCTGGGGAAGTCTTTGCGCTGGAGAACAAGAAACGGAGATGATCACCAGCACCATCAGCATCCTCACCACTTTCTGGATAGTTATTTTGGGCCAGACAACACACTAATCTCTTTACATATATCAAAGAGCCCTGGTGACACGGGACATTAGGTGCTGGGCTGCTAATCACAAGGAGGCAGTCCCTGTCACCATGAGCTTGCATTTGGTGTTGGTGGGTCGCAAAGTCCTTAATCCAAGCATTGTTGTTATTTCTGTTAAACGGATTCATTTGGGGTCACACTGCTAACAAGCAGAAGAAGCAGGATCAAACCATGCCACATGGCTCCAGAGGCCAAACCTTGAACCTTTATGCTGTGGTCAGGTGAGCAAATGTGTCTCTTTTGCCACATAACCCTATCAGTTGCACAGCTGGATGTGGTTAGGTGACCACATGACTTCCTCTACCCTGCACCCAGAATGAGTTTCAGCCTAGCATTCAGCACCCTACAAGGCTTTTCCTCTCTTCATCATCAATGTACTGAATGAGGTAAACATGACTTCCAGATAGGGCACTCTTAGCTTTCCTGCTAACAAGGGAAATTATGGTTCAATATCCACAGTCTAGGATGAGACCAGGCTTCCCCTTGGAGACATGAATTCTGAAGCTTCGTCTGACATACTTTGCACATGTTGCAAGGAGGGAGGGACCAGTCATTGGAGAGGGGCATCATGCTTGGGAATGTGGAGGGACAACACAAAAGAGGAAGACCCTTGATGAGGTGGATTGATTCAGTGACTGGGGTCATGGGGGTACGTGTGTCAGAGACAATAAGATTGGCACAGGATAGGGCAGGGTTTAGGGTTGTTGTACTATGAGTCACAGGTGACTTGATGACACATAACAACAATATCCACAGATTTCAGGAATTCAGTCACAAGTCACAGGAACTGGAGGGTCAAGAATCAGGGTTGTGGGTAAGGGGGGAGCAGGGCAGAGGAAAAGGAGCAAGGCTTTGGAAAGCTAATCAATCACCCAGCTACATCTCACAAAGGCCATGTTTATTTCCTACCTGCACTGTGATAGCTGCCTTCTTGGTCATCGTCTGGTACATACCGATGAAGGCCACATTGTTGTCCAGGTCATAAACAGGGCACTATAAGAAGAGGATGGAAAAGGCAGATGGAGAGGGGCCTGGGGCCCAGCCCTTCTGTTCAGTGGCCCTGCTCCCCACTGTGGAGAAGAGAGCAAATGGGCCAGACAACCTACCAAGACATCCTGGATGGAGATAACCGAGCAGGGGAAGGCCTTGCTGGAAGTCACCTTGACAATCACCGAGTCCACGCCCTCAGGGAACTCATACTTGAAGTACTAAGCAAAACAGAAAGGATGAGGGGAAAGCCCTATTTATGAGGATGCTCCCTGTCCCTATAGGAGGAAACAGTCTCCCATTAAGGACAGACCCAGAATCCTCTGAGGACTGGACAGTTTTAGCTCTCTGGGGAGACAAGATGTGATTGTAAGAAGCCTCATTATCTGTGTACTTATCTCCTCAACTTCAGCTGGGCATTTAGGACAGTACCTGAGCAGCAGATCCCATGTCTCTGCCCAGCCCCATACCATCTGTCTCTTTAGAAGGCTACGACCAGAACTCTTGTTTTAACAGTCCCTCCATGGAGAGTTCAGTTAACTCGAAAGTTTCAGAAAATACCAGACACGGCCCTTTCTCTTGCCTGAGTTTCCCACTTCTCCATTTGAGGGGTATTTGACAGGGACATTTTACCTGGGGCTGAGCGGCTGTGGTATTGAAGCTAAACTGCTCCCCAGTCCTGTAGGACAGAGAAGAGCCCCCCGACAGTCACTTCTAGAGTTTGGGAGGAAGGCCAGTCCCCACGGTCTCCTTGCTCTCCCCCGCAGACCTGAGCACAAAGTCATCCATGCGGCTGACCCGGAGCTGATACGTGGTGTTGATTGGTGACAGGGTGGACACATCCACATAGAAGAACTGGACCTCTGACTCATTTTTGGTGGGAGGCTGACACAGCGTTCGTTCAACCTTCTGGTAGAGGTACTTGCGCTGGTATCTATGACCCAAAGCTGAGAGTTAGGAGCTGAGTACTGTCCCAGCCAGTTGGCTACTTCAAGGAGTAAGGCCCCAACTCCTCTTATCTGGTCTCTATCACCCCTCCTGGGCTGAGAAGCTTCAGTCTGGTTCAGGGAATGGGGAGCAGAAGTAGAAGAGGATCCTGAGCAGTCTGAGGCCCTGAATGAGATCTGCATAAGGTAGCGAGTAGGCCCCCAGCACTGCCCCCTGGGCCCTACTCACAGTCCTCGCAGGATGAGTGGCACCTGGAAGGACACTACAGCCTCTTTCTGGCGGACCACGAAAAGCAAAGGAGCTTCCTTCTGCTTGTTGAGAACATTTACTGACACACGTACACCCTCCGTCTGCAAAAAGACATAGAAAAATGACCCTCAATCAAGTGGCTGTGACTGTATTTATGCTATTGAGGTTCATGGTTCCACAGATCCCTGAGTTCTGCCTTCTCTCCTGCAAGCTTTGTTGCCTTCTTCTTGCCTCGTCTTTGACCAGAGCAACCTCAAGTGTCCAGGATGACTAAGACAAGGGTGGCAAGTCTGTGCTGAGCAGCAAGACCCAGGGAACTGCAGAGGCCAACTCCGCAAAAAGGAAAACACTGGGGACTGGGAGCCTCAGGGATATTCCATTCCTATCGTGTGTGTGTGTGCACGCGTAGACACGTGTGCATGCATACACATACACACACGTGAATGGACAGCTAAGGGCAAGAAGTGATCCTCAACCTTGCTCTTTATAAGCCAGGAAGCCTTTTCAACAACTATTCTATGGACCAGAGCCAGGCAGTGCTGAAAGCCAAGTATAATCAGTAGCTCTGGGCTGCTTCCCATCTCTGAGCCTCAATCTCTCCATCTATAAAATGAAGACATCCTCACCATTAGGGCCTACGGCGATGACAGGATGTATAGCACAGAAGAGACCAAGAGAGAAAAAGGACACAACATGAAAGAAGCTCCAGGAATGTTTGTTAAAGGGCTGCCACACCTAAGTTCTAGGAGACAGAGCTCTCGGGGTTTCTAGACATGGGGAAGGAAGGAAGGAAGGATTCTAAGCAGGTGCTGAGAAGGAGTTAGAGAGGATCAAACTATGAAAACGAGGCAATGAGGGCAGACCCAAGCCTTTCACAGAAACCAAACCACTTCCCATTTGGGAAAGCAAGGCACATTCTCCTTTTCAATTCTACTCCTTCCCAGAAGGAAGCTTTGGTAGCACAGTCCCTAGGGAGTTGCGCTGCTAACCCCAAGGTTGAGTCTCACTGATGGTTCTAAACCCACCAGCTGTTCCTCTGGAAAAAGATGAGCAATCTCTTCATTTACAATTTACAGCCTCTGAAAACCTGCTAAATTTGTTCTGACTGGATGACAGTGAGTGAATCCCAGTAAAATCAGCCCGTGGAAAGAGAGAGGGAGAAAAGACCATGACAGTGTTGCAGAGAGTAAGAGAAATGAGCTTGCTCCTCCCTGAGTAGGGGATCATGCAACCAGGCTGCAGGAAATTTACCCTAATCTCAGATCTGCCTGGGCCTAGCCTTCTCACCGAGGGTTGAGTCCATGCTCAACTCTGGTACTCACAGCTGGGGAAGAAATGAAAGAAAAGTCACATGAGGTGGATTTCCCACAGCGGACAAACTCCCTTTCTCTTCTCACTCTGGCTACAGTTTGGTTTCATCACTGCCACCCTCATTTCCAAGGCCAGCTGGCTTTCTCAGGCAGGAGGAAGGGCAGGGAAGATCCCAAACTTACAAGAATCGGGAAAGTTCTGCCTCCATTTCCCTGGGGACTCTGGGCTGTAAACTTGTCTGAGCTGAGCAGGCCTTTTGGTTCTGGGCCTGTCTCATCCCTCCCCTGAGAGAGCACACCCTTCACCCCAACTTAGGCAGACAGCAGGTGTTTGGGCAGGGGGCAGGCCCCACTGCCAGTGATGCGAGGCAAGGGTTCATAAAAAAGATGGAAATGAATCAACTTCAGAAACTGACTCTAGTGGGGCCTCATCAAGATCGGTGGGTTCTGAAAATAGAGAAATCAGTAAGGCAGCTAGTTTCTTCCGGGGGAGGAGGGACAGACTCCTATAAAAAGGGTAGCAGAGTCGCCCTGCTAGTGCTTGCTCGCCCACTCACCAGCCTCCCAGCCCAGACCCCAGCCCCTTACCCGGTTTCGGGTCACAGTATGGTTGAAGGTGTAGATGTTGACCAGTTCGCTGTTGACCTCGTCTATGTAGGTGCGCTCAAACTCGGCATCTTTCTGCGAGACGTTCTTGGGCCCCAAAACCCCCAGATGGCTTTCGACCGGGGCCACCAAGAGCACCAAGAAGGGCAAGCCCAGAGCAAACATGGCCCCGGCTGGGCGTCAGTAGCGGCGGTGGCGACGGCGACGATGACGAGCGGCAAGACACCTCCGGGAAGGGTTGCGGCTCTGGCCGCAGCTTCCAGCATCTCACTAGAACCAGAACTTTAACCCCGGCCGGAGATTAGGAAACGTCCCCTCCCAAGAGCCGCCGAGCCGCTCCCGGGGGTCCCAGAAGGGAGGGGGCGGCCGGGAGGAGGAAGGGGAGGGGAGGAGGGGCAGGGTACAGACCGCAGGAAGGGACCCCAGCTCGCTCGCGAGTGGTTCAACTCGGCCCCTGAGATCCTTCGGCCCGGGTCCGGGCAGAGAGAGCGAGGGGTAGCTGGTTGCTGGGAGCCCAGAGACGCCAGAAAAGGGGAGGGAGGAAAGGAGGGGAAGCCGGCAGCTGGGGCGGCCGGGAAAGCACGGAGAGTCCGAGGGTGAGGGGCGTGATGGGAGGTAGCGACAGCACGCGGGGCAGGGCGGCGAGTTTCCCCGGGCGCTGGCCCTTTAAGGGCGGGCGGACGCCCGGGCGCTCCGAACTCAGGAAAGTGAGCCGCACCGCTGGGCGGTGAACAGCAAGGCAATTTGCCCGCCCACTGACGTCAGGGGAAACTGACATATATTTAAAGGACCAGGTCCCGGATTTGGCTTTAGAGGGGCCGGAACCCCATCAACCTGGAGGGGAGCGTAGGGATGTCTTATAACAAAAACCGCTACCATCTCTTCTTTCATTAGCTGGCCCGTCTCCTAAAGTTGTGATTGGAACTGGAAGATATTTCTTTTAAAAGGTCCCCAAGTATTGGTTCTTGTAAATAGTGATTTTTGCACATCTATACCTCGAATACACCTTTTTTTTTATCTTAGGACGGTAGATGCTGACGGTAATAACAGTAGGATCCTCTAAGAACCCACTATTCCAGGTTCTTCCTCCCCACCCCCTTCCTGGGCTCTTAAAAACATGAAAAACTAGGAATTAGAAAACACAATGGACTGCAGGTGTAAAAGGTTGAAGCAGAAGGAAGCCCGTGTGCACGCTCACATCCCACTTAACGCAGCCACACAGCTTCATATAGCTAAGCTTGCGAAGCTATTCTCTTCTCTGGAGAGAGATTTGCAAAGCTTGTTGAAATAGTTACCTTGAATGTAAACTGATAAAAATTTTTCTAGGAAATATTTTGGTACTGTGTTTTATAAACAAGGAGCTTTATACCCATTGACCCAGTAATTCCAGTTGAGACTGTCCTAAAGCAATATAAATAAGAACTGGAGATGAAAATTTGTAGGTAGTTATGCTTTCCACTGGGATATTTACAATATAAAGAGTAAAGGAAGGTAAATGTCAGGAAGTGGTTAAATGCAGTTATCATAACAGGCATCAAAAATTATAAGACTTTAAAGGGCATGTGAATTTAGCATATTGCTGTTGTGATTAACTGCCCTTTGGTCTTTTCCAACTCAGACTTTATGCCAGTCCCTCCTTGCTATACTCACAGGGGCTCAGGTGCTTGAGTCACATTTAGGATGTTGTTGTTGTTGATTGCCTGCCAGTGGAGCACTACTCATAGCTCATAGCGATCCTATGAACAAAAGGCCTGAAGCCCTCTATAGCTATCGAAATTTATCAAAGTTCATAGAGTTTCTGGATAGGGCAGAATAAATGTCTCCCAAGTCATAGACAAGCATGGAGAAACTTTTGAAGAAACTGCACCCCCCCACAAAAAAAAATTCAACAATGATGAAGGGAAAGGAAATATACAGTAAGGAGTGGATAGGCACAAAATCCCTACAGAAAGGAAAGCCACCGGTATAGGAAGATTAATGGAAATCAGAAATATGGGGAAGAAATGAGTAAAGTGTGATTACACCATAAGCATTAAAATTAATATTATAGAACAAAGTGTGATGAATGAAAAAAATTTGCTTTGTAAATATTTAATCAAATCACAGTTCAAAAAATGTTAAAAAGAAAGCAAAAAGCAAAACAATGCAACAATGTTTATCTCTGAATTATAGGTGATTTTAAAAGTAGTATGTATCTTCTAGTTGTCCTTTACTACTAAAAGTATTGAAAAGTACACATACATGTGAAAAATACCCAGAAATTTTTATTTCTTTTACACTTTAAAAATATTACCATAGCTGACATCCAAGCAGATATATGCACACCCATGTTTATTGCAGCTTTGTTCACAATAGCAAGGAGTTGGAAACAACCTAAGTGCCCATCAACAAACGAATGGCTAGAGAAGCTGTGGTATATTCGCACAATGGAATACTATGCTGCATTAAAAAACAAGGAACTCATGCAATATTATTCAAAATGGTTGACTCTGGAGAACATTATGCTGAGTGAAATATCCCAGTCACAAAAGGACAAATATTACATGATGCCACTGTTGTAGAATGGGACTGTCCTTGGGGTTGGGGAGAGACTGAGTAAGATGGGTTCAATAATGTATACTGCACTGAAATAGAGGAGGGAAAGAACCGTTTAAAAGAGAGATATAACTGGGTATTTCTGTCATCACAGGAGACTAGAGCGAGGGCTACATGGTGGAGGGGACCTGGGGGAGGGTTTGTAAAACAATGAAAGAATCTTTTCTTTTACTTTTCCATAATTTTTGGACTCATGTACTTATAACTTGTTAGTCAAATTTGTGTCTTCTAGGTTGCAACACCCCCATGATACATCTTCAAGGATATGAACATGTACGGCCAAGCACAATCAATAAGAGTGCATCTAAATTCCAAAATCAATCTCCATAATAGTCTATGTGTTTCCTACTGCCAAAGGGGCCCTTTAGAGTAGTGAGAGAAGATCTTCACCCTGAAACCCACAGCGTCCCTTTTCAGCAGGAAGTAGCTAAGAGAATACGCCATCCCCTTTTCCTTATGACTCAGGGTGAAGTCTCTCTCAGGGAGGAGTGATAGGGAATGGCAAAGGACACACTGACAAAGAAGATTAATCAGAACTGGCTTTGACAAGCAATGTGGCATTTGGACAAGAACAAACTGGGAGGAGGGTAGAGAGAATAGTGCAACAATGAATGAGTGGAAGCCCAAAATCTCTGTAAATGTTTATGAAAATTAATAAAATATAATTATAGAAAAAAATATTACAAATGATAATTTTTTGTAATGCACATGTATTCCTTTTATAGAATGAACTTATGACTAGACATATTTAAAGAAAAAGACACCCTTAGTAAACCATGCCTTCTCAAGCCCTTCTGAGTCCTGAAAAAATTCTACTTGTCTTAGCCCCTGCCTCTGCTTTATTAACTGGGGCATTGATCATGAATGCAGATTATTTTACCTGATTAGTAATAAATATTTATTGCTTTCTGGAATAAATGGATATTTAAAAGTGCCAGGCATTTTTTAAATTACACTAGTCAAATGGTGAATGAATGGAAGAATGAAACCTGGTGCCAGGCCAAGGTAAGCCAAGGTAAGCCCTCTTGAGGAAGAAGATCTGAAGCAAATCGCAAAGGCTGGAGAAACCTACAAAGCCAGAACACTGAAAACCTTCGCAGTCTGCTGGACCAGCCCCTCGTTTTACTGATGAGTAAAACCCAGAAAATGTCAGCTAGTTATTAACTCACTGGTCTTACACTTGAATCTGGTACTTCCTCCAGGACATCTAGACAGTCGCGGGTCAGCTAGATCCATAATGCAACAAGAAATATCCTCATAATGAACCATCTCTATGGTCAGTAGCCCAGGTTGGCAGATCAGGGTAGTAGGATTTTCATATTCCAATTAGACTTTCTGGTCTTGGCCTTGTTCATTTTGCAAATAAATAATCTAGAAAGCTGAGAAACACTCCCCTCACTTACAACTTTATATCATTTCAGTGAAAGTCTGTCATGTGCTGGTAACTTTGTTGGGTGCTTGAATCTGCTTAAAAGAGCTGGATGCTGTGTTAGGTGCTGTCAAGCTGGCTACAATTCATAACCATTCTGTGTACAAAGAACAAAACTCTGCGTAATCAGCAAGCTCACATTCTCTGCTGCCCACTGTTGAAGTCTATCAATCTACCTTGTTGAGGGTCTTCTTCTTTTTCAATGACCCATTACTTTTCTCAGCATGCTATCCCTCTCCAGGGACTGCCCCTCCTGATAAACTCACCCACAGTAATTGAGACTAAGTTTTACCATCTTTGTTTCTAAGGAGCACTCTGGCTTTACGTCTTTCTTCCAAGACAGATTTGTTGGATAGACCAGCTGTGCTGAATGAACCCAGACTGGAACGCTAAACTCAATAGGGGAAAAATGTTTCAAGTCTTTCTTTTTTATGGATTTGGAACAAAATGTGATACTAGGCTGATTTAAAATGCACATAGTAATCCACACTTCTCAAATTACTGTATGGAGGTAGAGCCCAGGAATCTGCATTTTAACAAGCATCTCAGGAATTTGTCAATGTTCTTGTTTGTTCCCTTTCTCCAGGCACAATCTTTGGAGAAATCTGTTCAAGGCAATCCAGAGGGGGTTCTTTGGCAAAGCCTCAAAGGCTTTGAATCCTTTGCACTCTAGAAGTTCAGAGGGGACAGTAACAGTGAAGGACCCCAGATCTCCCAGGTCTGCAGAATTTTTTCTCAGCCCCTCTTTGCCACCTCTCAGAGAGGAAACTGCACAATCTAGTTATGAATAGGCCCTTTCTGAGATCTGGCAACTCTGAGAGCAAAAAGGCCTTTTTATTGGCTGGTGTAGTTAGCATAAAAGAAAAGCAGTGCCAGCTCCCAATGCTAGCCTTTTGAGTGCAAAGGAGAGATGCTAAGTCCTTTAGAGTAGCCCTCTGTGTTCAGACTGTAATCACCCAGCCTTGAATGTACACACAGGAAGTCCAGCACCAACCCTGGCCCTGAGTGGGCAAGGTGGAGGTCATGAAGATCAGATGATTTCCATGTAGCAAGCATTCACTAGGCAGCTGACAAAGGTCCCCAGCCTTCCGTGGATCCAAATTAATCTGAAGTCACAGGGGACAGACACGTTTTGGGGAAAGGGAGAATGAGAAAACTTCTGCTGTTAACATGTTAACTTGACCTGAAGACTGGTTAAAAGTAGGATTCTATAAGCAGAACATTAAATGGATTAGCTTGTGAATCAAGTAACTTCGGTCCCTGAGTGGTTGACAAGGGAGTGGCAGTGTTTGCACACAAGGAGTCTTTTATGAAGAAAATGGAATTTCAAGTCCATTTCATCCAGAAGGGATGATTTATTTTGCAACCTTTTTTACAGGGTTAAAGTTACACATTGCCTAATTCTAAAGCCTGATTTGACTGTGCACCAGGGTTTAGTTGCATTCATCATTCTATTTTCTAAAGAGCTGGAAATACAAATAAGCAAGACTAGCTCTGACCGAGAGCACAGCGTTTTCTAGCAGAGACAGAATAGTCACTTTCCATTTCTTAAAAACGAGTTTTCTCTATTTAGACTGGGAACTCAGGCAATTGATTCAGTCTCTGAACATGTGATGGAACCAACATCAGAGCTTTCCAGGAAATGTGTCTGGTCATCAAGTTGCTGAAACAAGCAGATAAAT